GCTTGTCAATGCTGGGGAGGGGGTATGCGTCCTTAGGACATGCCCGGTTGAGATCTGTGTAACCAACGCACATCCTCCATTTCCATTATTTTTCTTAACGAGTACAACGTTGGATAGCCATGTTGAATACTGGGCTTCAAAAATAAAATTTTCCTCTAGGAGGTCTTTTACAACTTTTTCAGCCGCCGTCGACTTTTCGGGGGACTGCCTACGCCTAGGTTGAACTACGGCCCTAGCGGCCGGATTGACGGAGAACTGGTGGTAGGCAACCTCGAGGTCGAGTCCGGGCATCTCGGCGTTCTCACGGAGGCAGGCCTCTAGTTGCTTCCTCGCCAGGTCGGGCAATCCCGCCCCAATCTTCATGGTCTTCGTTGTGTCTGCCCCGAGGGTTTTGAGCTCGAAGTCCCCGTCTGGAATGGGGAGCGTTGGGTGGAAAGGATGCCCGTTGGTTTCGCCGGATTCTTTCTCGTGGTTAGGTTCTTCGATGAAATGGCAGTCAAGGTCCACGGCATCGACATGATCCTTCGGTTTGACCTCTCGGGCAGAATGTGGCTTGGTTGCTTTGGTCGGGGGACCGATTGTACTGAGGCCCTTCATCGCTGCTTCGAAGCATCGACGGGCGGCATCGATATCCCCGTTGAGGGTAACAACGGCTCCAAGTTGGGTGTAGTACTTCATCTTTAGGTGGACGTTCGATGGTACCGTAGTAAGTTCGGACATAGTTGTCCTGTCCAAAATGCATTTGTATAGAGACGGACATTCGACGACCCGAAAACGGACGTTGATTTCCCTAGCCGTTTCCTTTTCCCCGAATGTGACCTTGAGCTCCACGTACCCCCACAGTCTTGTCGTCGTCCTGTTGAAGCCCTGTAGGTTGGAGCCTAGGTAGGGGGATAAGTTAGATTCGTCGAGCTGAAGCGTCACGAAGAGATGGGTGTACATGATGTCCACCGAGCTCCCCCTGTCGACCAGGATGCGTCGGACGTCGAAGTTAGCCATCTATGCTCAGATCAGTAGGGGAATGTTTGAGTTTGGAGATCCCCCGGGGAGCTCCTCGAGGTAGAAAGTGATCGGGTTGGAACGACCTTGGAACTTGTCGAGGGTGCTCATCTTGTCGGAACTGTTGTTCATGAGCTCGTCAAACTTCTGCTTAACTGATCCCACTGAGAGTTTGCTCGGGGTCCTGCCGGAGATGACCGTTGCTCGGGGTCCTGCCGGAGGCTGAACTCTCTTAGGGCGAACCAGTCCTCTGGTCGGCCGACGGTGAGGGCTACCTGGAGGCCGGAATCATCGTGAGGAGGGAGGTCCTCGACTTTCTTAGCCTCGGGGGCCTCCTGTCGTGGTGGGTCCCCTCCCCGGGTGTACCTCTTCAAATGTTCGTCCTTGATCAGAATTTCGATCGCGTCCTTCAGATGGACGCAGTTTTCCGTCATGTGGTCGTGGCTTTGGTGGAAGCGACGGTAGTTTGATTTGTCCACATTGGCTTTGGTGAGTGCCGGTTTTGGAAAGCGGACACCTCCTCGGACGAATTCTGAGTTGGCGCACTCCGCCAGTATACGCTCGCGGGAAGCGACCAGCGCCGTATATTTGGTGAAGCGCCCGACGGGGCCCCGTTGCTCGCGGGATTCTCGGGGGCGGTCTTCTCGTCGTCTGTCCCCCCATGGCGTTTGCCCGAGGTCCCTTCTTCTCGGGATCTCCGGGGAGTTTCTTTGTTTCGGGTGTCGCGGGCAGTGTTGACGGCTTGCGTCTCCTCGAATCGGATATAATGACACGCTCTGGCGAGGAAGTCTTGAAGGGATTCTAGCCGGTGGATCGCCACAGCCTCGTAGAATTTTGAATCTCGGCGTAGCCCCTGCTCCATCAGGTAACGTTTCATCTCGTCAGAAGTGGTCACCTGGACTGCCTCCCTCGTGAACCTCTCAATGTAGTTCCTGAGGGGCTCGTCGGGGGCCTGGATGATCGCACCCAGCGCTGCCTCTGTCTTCGGGTGGCGTCTAGATGTCGTGAAGTGTCGCGAAAACAGGTCATTTAGGACCCTCCACGATGTAACAGACTCGGGTTCCAGACTTTTGTACCACGTCATAGTGTCTTTTCTTAGGGTCGTTGGAAAACGCCTGCACTTGATGGCTCCCCGGACGTTTCGGTAGTCGAGCATAGCATCGACGTCTTCTAGATGGTCGTTCAGATCCGAGGTTTCGTCGTACGTCGAGAGCATGAGCGGTTTCTCCATCCTGTGGGGGATGGGAGCTGCCATGATCTCCCGGGACAGCGGGGTCCTGTAGTCGTCCTCGTCGCTGAGGACCGGGGACTGAGGGGGCGAAGGCCCATGCCGAGGAGGAGGCTGGTTCCGTACCCTCGGTTGCCGGACAAGGGCCTCGGGTCTCCCTGTCCTCGATTCCTGAGAACGTCTGTCCTTCTGAGTCGGCGACCTCGCTCCCTTCTTGGAGGCCACGGGTTAGGGCCTCTCCAATTGTGGTCGGCGCTTGCGTGGTTGGGGAGAAGAGCTCCAAGAGTTCTCGCGCTGATTTCTCCGCGGAGGAGAGCGGGATGAGGTGTCATGTTCCAACGCGCATATGCGCTCGTTCTGCTGGAACAGCATCTGGTTCTTCTGGTTGATAGTCGCGAAGAGGGCGACCATCGTCGGGTCCGCGTCGGTCGGAGTGAGGATGAGCTGGAACACTGCCGGACTTCTTGCCCGAAGAACGTCGTGGTGCGGCGCGTCCTCGAAGGAAGTGGAGGCAGTCTGGCCGTCCCTAATGTCGGTCTCACGGAGTTGAGATGTCCCTATGTGACCGTCGCCGTTGGCAGCGGGGACAACGGAGTTGTGAACAACGTCGTCATGGCGTGGGCTAGTCATGATCCTGAAGTTGAAATGAAGTTTTGGTTCTCTGCTCGGAGGAACGGGGAAGCTTGCTTCCCACAGACAGCGCCACTGATCTGACCTGATCAGAAGGGAATCAATAGACCGTCACACGCCTTTGATCTACAACCTGTTCACTGGTGGTAAGAAGGGGGAGGGGTGTGCCTGCAAGACACTCCGATGCCAAAATGAGAAAGGACTAGAGTGAAGCAAATACATAGAGAAGGTGTAGAGAATAGAATACCTGACCCTCTAGTGAAAGAAAGTATTTATAGAGAGACCTCAGCGCAGGGCCAACGGTCACTTGTGTTGGGCTGGATTGTCAGGCCTAACCCAGGTGACTGCTAGGGCTTACGTGGCGTAGTGAAGACCAGCACGTGGTCTTCGCCCTAGTTCAACCGTCCCGTGATCTTCGGAAGGTGGGTTGACCAACTCTCGCAGAGGTGGGTGGTTGGATGAGGACGTGTCCCCGCGGATGGGAGCACGTGGAGAACGTGTGGAGGACACGTCGTTCTGTCCGAAGGAAGGAAGGTTCTGCCTGTCGAGGGCAGCGTCTGGTCGACGGGGACCCTTGTGCTCGACGTAGGGGATATGGGTCTGCTTGGGCTTTCCCCAAGTACCATTGGGTTGGGCCTGCCCAGTCAGACCAGAGCTCAGGCCAGAACAGATATAAAAAATTTTACACTATCAATCCATTATCATTATTTATTTACGTTATTTTACAAATACATAAAATAAAAATCAAACTTCTTCCAATATCTGACTTTTATGATTAGTTGAAAGTGTAGGTTCATTATTTTTTAACTTTATTGATTAATCAATATATTTTATTCTATATAATTATTTAAACTTTTTGAATAATCAATATTTTTATATATAGATCAAATATACTAAATATCTAATAAATTAAAAAATAATTTATTTAATATAAAAAACAAAATCAAATGTAGAATGAAGCACCGAAAAATATTTAACTACGAGTGTATTGTTTAACGAATTACAATTATGATCTAGGGAATATTAACATTAATACCAGAAATTTTTTCCCTTTCCATGTGTTTGATAAACTATTGGATTTTCCTAGAATAGTTACAAAATATATTTAGATTAAAATTTTTAAGTTGAAATAATTTAGAGTGAGATAATGAGTGATTATCTCTTATTTTACGATAATGTAAAATTTTCACTCTTTTGCATAGGAAAAAGAAATAACAAATTTATGAGTAATTTATATTCCCAAAAATAAAAAATATGAGATTACAATTTGATAAAACCTATAATAAATGTGAGACGAGATTTCTAGCTTTAGGTGAGAATAAAATTTGAATCCATGGAAAATTTGAGTTTCTAGCTTTATGAGTAATTAAGATATTGATGTTTGGAAAAGAAATACTACTAGGTTGACACCTTCTGTAGGGTTAGCCTTTGATTGAACAGTTAATCTATTAATTAATAAGGTTAATATTAAACCACCTTATAGTGAAAGTGATGTTCATTAGTCTATCTTAATTTATTCTGGCTGTAGGAACTTTGAGCGACCATCCGAGTTAATTTATCAAGCTACAAGGACAGTTTAATATACAAACCTTATTGCTTAGTCTTTATTCAAATGTCTCTCTCATGATCAGTAAACATATACTATTGATTGATTTGTAAGCTTGCCGACTTGTATTGTATTGTTGTGTACTTCTTAGTCAGAGGTTCATATCTTTTCACTTAAAGTATGCTTTAAACGACACGGCACAAGAAAAAATGGTATCAGGAATCCAGGGCTTCTAGTTCTTTATGTCATTTTGACATTTTCCAGATTCAGAATGATTCATACAAACATTAAATATATCCAGAATCATTAATGTAAAAGAGCACATGAATAAACATAGTATATCCAGAATTCATTGAGACCAAGTATCTTTTTACAGTGTCTAGCATATTTGATAACGAACATTACGAGATTTACAATTCAATATTTGTGCTTGACAGAAAATACTCGTCCAAGCAAGCTTTCACTCTGGACACAGCACTTTCTTCTTACCTTCTCTCATAACCATTAATTAATGACCGAGATAACAAATCTAAACATGAAAGGCATAAGTTATGATATATGCATGAGATATGACTGGATAGATTAGAGATTGCATTGTTAGGATTTATGAGAAAGATTCCTCTCACTATGAGATGCCCCTAACCTAGGTGGCAAGAGGTTTAAAAAGCTTCCTTGAGCAGGCCGATCACTTTGAGACTTATCAGAAACCTCAGTCGTCTCTGAATCGGAATCTGTCATATATGTATGTCAGTCAGTGTAATTAGATGAAAATATTTAGGCTTAATATCCTTTTCAGTCTCGAATGTTAATCTTGGGGTTCATTTTAATCCTTTAACTTAAAAAAAGTCCATATTGGTCCATTAACTCTTCAAAACGTACCATGTTAGTTATTTTCATCTAATTAGCGACGGAAAAACTCAGAAATTGATCGCTAATTTCTACATTAATTAGGCGAAAATGACTTACATGGTACGTCTTTAATATGGTACGTCTTTAATAGTTAAGGGACCAATATGAACATTTTTTAAATTGAGACAAATATGAGCCTCGAAGTTAAACCAAATATTTATGATTACATACAAAAAACAGATATACACATGATAACACGAACTAAGAAAACAGTTTGAAAGAAACAAATAGTCACAAGATTTAAGAGCCTACCAAATAGCGACTTAATAGATGGCCTCTTTGATTTGGAGGGTTTCTTCTTCAGTTCAGCTGAAATGCAAAAGGAAGGCAAAGTCAACACAAAAAAGCAACATACCCATGAACTTCCAGAACATTCTTGTGTAAAATGCAATCAGCAGCATCCCAAACAAAACAAAAAGAAAAAGATTTCGCCAATTTATTTTCCACATCCCTGCCTAAAAATCATTGATGTGAAACTGTGGTTTGATATATTGATCCAATAATCTATCTTGGCCTTACATCAATAAAAGATGAAGTAAATCCTAAGAAGATCAAATGTCTACATCTGGACCAAGTTTTGCACATAATGGTTGTCCATGTAGTCTTGTAGATTAACTAGTCTCTGTTGGCATTTAGGTTCGATTACCAGCTGATATTTTATATAGTTTCGTTCAATATTAGGAGGACTCATGCCCATCGAATTCTGTAATTGTTAGAATATCTTTAAAACATCTTACCATATCATTATTCTATCATAAAATATGTCATTTATCTTTGATCATCCTTAAGGATTAAGTGGAACATAATATTATTATTGATTTCCTAATAGGACACCAAGGTCCAGTACATTTGATGACCCAATCATTGGGCCCAAGCCACATGTGGTCCAATACACTTGACACTGTTACGATGTTGAGTTTCCTAAAATATGGAGCTTGTTGTAATAATGCCATTATCTCCATGATTATCCCAGGTGCATTGGTTATCCCGGACGTAATCCAGCCTGAATTATCTCCCATGAAATTTAGTCACAACAATTGCAGATATATACTAGCCCCAAGTTTTGACTGAATTGTTTTGTATCAGATTTTGTGGAGTCTATTATAATTTTTTCATTGCAAAGGATTCATTTCTAACAAGCTTAAATCTTGGTAAGCTTTTATCTTGAGAGTGCTGTTACAAAATTTGAAAAATATCACTAAAACACTATTCATCATAAAATATGTTGCAGCATCTTAGATTATCTCTTATGATTAGATTGCATATGTCCTCATAACTATTTGCTTCCTCATTAAATTAGGATTACGTGTATTCTGTAAAAATAGAATATTTACATTGACTAATACAATTTTGTCATTCTAAGTATTTACTTGTTTCTTTATATCTAAAAGAATAAACCTAGAAAATACCTTTGTCCCAAAATATAAGACCCTCTTGAGTTTTTTTTTTTTTCTTCCTTTTTTATAAGACCCTCTTCAAATTTCAAAGTGGATTAATAATTTCTTTACTTATATACCTATAATTATGTTACATATTTTCTGCATACTGCTGCACTAAATAATTTTACACTAACATTAAATAATTATCTCTCCTAAAGATAAACTTGTAAAATTATACAAAATAGTCAACAAACTTATTACTCCAACCAACTTTCTTAATTCCCGTTATTTACTCTATAGGGTCTTATATTTAGGGACGGAGGTAGTATTAGTTTAACAGAAACCTTTACTCTTTAATATACATTATCCCAGACGAAAGTAACATTTACTCTTTAATATACTTTGTCCTAGACGTAAGTGCATTCAAAGGAGATATATTTTCACAAACCGTTTATCGGCTTAAACATTCCTTCTTTTGGTTTATGCATCTATATGGTAAATCTTCACTAAGAGCTATTCAATAGTAATTCTCTCAAAAATAAGAAAATAATATATCTATCCCTCTTACCATGAAAAACATCAGTCAAATAAGCATAATAGCCATGACTGTGGCTAAACTGGAACCTCGTAGCAAACATATTGCACAAAATATATGCATGAGTGGAAAGGGAAAAAATAAACGTACCCATCCCAGGAACTTGATAATCGTTTACAATTTCAAAGTTCTTGTATGTGTATCCAACAAAATTTAAGTCCTTAGATGAAAGCATCTGCAACATCCCCCGTCAAACAACAAAAGAATAAGAAAAATGAAATGATTAGAGGTCGAGAATAGTTGTTGGTAGCACGTCAAAAATTCAAAGATTGAGCACTATTCTTGTAAGCCAGTGTGAAAAAAAAAATACTTGAATTGTGTTGTCTAATATGGTTCACAAACAAAATAACCAACAATTAGAACTTGGGGATGATATATTTGTTTGACAGTGCTAAAAGCAAGTTAAACACAATAACTTGAGTTCTGTTGAAGATTTATTTGAGACAAACAAAAATATACAACTCTAAATCATGAAGGTGATTGCTGACCTAGCGTGAACATTTTAGCAAGCTCAATAATACATGCTCTTAAACCCTAGTAGAGTGATAGTTCGGGCTTCTTAAGAATTCAAAGAGCAGTGTATTCTCATGTATTACTATACCATCGTTCGGGCTACTTATCACAATTAACCATGATGTTGAACATCATTAGCCATAACTTTAATTTTGCTTAATGAATATCATGTATATTTGACCACTTATAAATCATATATATTTGAGCACAATATGAAAGGTTAACTAATGGATATAAATATGATTGAACACTAGAAAATTGTGGTTTGTGACGTTCAAAATTGGGGTTAAATGTAGAGGTGGCAATTGGATCCATTAAGGCAAAATTCATCCAATCCATCCACCACATAAAAAATAAGTTAATGGATTGGATTAAATACATCTATTTATATGCATGGATGAATTCGATCCATCCAACATATTTTAAGGATCCAATGGATTATTTTTATTTTCGTTAGATTTATTTTTTTTAAAATAATTTAAAATAGATTTTTTAAAAGAAAAGAATTGATTTTTTTCAATAAAAAAATCGGAATTTTTCCAAAAAAAAAAAAATCAAATTTTTTTTCGAAATAAAAAACTGATTTGTTTTTCGAAAAAAATCGTTTTTTTTCCAACAAAAATAACCGATTTTTTAATTAAAAAACGGTTTTTTTTCGAAAAACGATTTTTTTCGTAAAAAAATCGATTTTTTGCCGAAACAAAAAATATTTTTTTTATAAAAAAAATCGATACTTTTCAAAAATTAAAATATCAATTTTTTTCTTGAAAATACAAAAAAAATTCAATTTTTTTCATTAATATATTAAAAAACAATTTTTTTAAATACAAAAAATAAATTTTTCGAAAATAAAATCAAATTGATTTTTAAAAATAAAAAAAATACATTTAATTTTACGAAATAAAAAAAAAGTTGGATGGATGGATATCCATCCATTAAAAATATGTTAATAATATGTTAATGGATGGATTGGATGGATTTTATTCTTAATGGATGGATTGGATAATTTTAAAAAAAATTTAGTGGATTGTTAATGAACTAATGAATTGTTTTAATCCATCCATTAACAATCCAATCCATATCCATCCAATTTACCACCCCTAGTTAAATGTAAGTTGTGCTCAGTAGATGATTAGTGACTTGCAACACCTTAATATATTCATTAACCATCGACTGAACATAACCACATATTTTAATTGTTAACCATCAAACTGATAATGGAATTTAATGTCAATTGTGTCAAAATATAATCTATAAAATTATTCAAGTGATTTCAAAATCCAAAATATGCCTAAAAACGAAAACACAGAGGCAAAAAAAAATCATATATGGGAACCCCAAGCTTGTTCCAGAGCTTGCAAGACATTTCTTACTACACGGCCATGCCTGTGCTTTATACCTTCTCAACCACTAACTCGACTCATAACAATTATGAATTATCAACAACCTACTCATGGACATGCAAGTCAAAAGAAACATTTTAAAAACAGAAGAGACATGCCAAATTTCCATATAAGTAATTCCAAGTACAAACAGTGATAAACTGATTGGTTTTCTTTTCCCTTACTTGTATTGCAAAAAATTAGGGATTCAACTTGATCATCATCATATCAACCAATAAAAGGGTATTCAAACACTAATTCAACATATAACTTGATGACAATTTCTAGCAGAAGGGAACATCAAACATTACCTTCCTCCATGGACCAGTTTTTGAGGACGGTCGGACTTGGCTGTCAGACTACAGGTGCAAAAGGTGAAATGAGAAAAAAATGGACAAGAAAAACGGCACAAAAATATTCATACAAAATAAGCAAGAAAATGATCAACTAATATACCTCATCAAACTTTTCAAAATTCTGAGTATCTAATTCATCATTGACCTCGGGTATAAATGCAGCTTCAATTTGATATAGTGTATCCCATTCAACACCTTTGAAGAACCGATGAGCCTGAAGAGGAATTTATCACCAAAGTAAACTCAATATCCAAAATATATAATATAATAAATCTAAAAATTTAAAGAAGAACACACCATACAACACCTTTATTTCATCTGCACCTTTTGATCCCAGCCTCTGGTTGACATTACATAAAAGTCTACTAATAAGATCTTTAGCCTCTGGCGATAGATTAGCTTCCTCAGGAAATTTCAAGTGAGATTTCCAGTTCACTATCTGCAATAAAGAGAAACCAAGATAAAATTATCATGCTCTATAAATTTTATATAAAAAAAAAAATCTGAGTATGTTTGGTTTCTGTTTCCATCTTTTCATAATAATCTACATTAAATTATTATGTGTATACGATTTGGTACTCTAAAGAGAAGGTTGCACTTTAAAGCATTGTCATTTTAATATCCACAAGTCTACTAATAAAGTAGGATCCACTTGTCACTTAATGGAAAGTGTACACCTAGCATTTAGGGAAGCTTAAGTCAAGTTTACAATTAAATTGTCAAAATACATAGATGAAGAATTAAAAAATACCATGCTAAACTTAAGTGGGAAATAGGTGATGTGGTGAAAAAAGCTTTGGAGGCAAGAGGAAAAGAAAGACATTGTTATGTTTGAGTTTATCTTGTAAACTCAGCCAAAAAATAAAGGACTAGAGGAAGAGTTCTGCCAAAGACATTAAGGACTAGAGGAAAAATACTTTTAGCCTTATCATCATTATCATATTTGATATGGCACCCACTTTCTTTTTTACACATTGCAATATGAGAGAATTTTTCATCTCAAATGTGATCCCTGGCATCATGGAGATCTAGTCCAAAGAAGTTGAGAACACTGAACATGTCAAGAGATTTAAAGCTGAATCTCTCAACGGGTCTAAAAAATCTAACCACCAATTTAATGTAGAATGATAGACTGACAGAAACCACAAATAAAAAGAGGAGACAAACATCTTAGCTGAAAATTAAAAGTCAAATGCAATAACTGCGAAGTGCCATAATCAATAGTAAGAGTGTACTGTAGAGGGTTATAAAAACATCTGTAAATGTTAAACAACCGTAAGTTGGAAGAATCATTTGTATCATCAGAAAGATTACCTTCCTACATGTTGTCATTGGATCATCAGAATAAAAAGGAGGATATCCCACCAACATTTCATACATGATAGCGCCAAGTGACCACCTGTGAATTTTAAAACAACCATGGTTCCGTCAAATAAAGCATTTAACCCCGACCTTATTAGAGTTTATTCACAAGTCCAAGTATATATAGCAAAACCCAATATGTTGGATTGTTTTCAAAAAAAAAAAAATTGTATAGGAAACAAAAAAAAAAGGAATACGTCCCAAACCCAAACAAATAATGAAGTGATAATAGGGTGGAACATACTGAAAATATATCACTCAGTTATTAATGAAAAGAAGAACAAACTCAGATGATATGGTATACATGCGTCAACATGCAGAAAACTCACCAATCACATTCCATCGCATACCCTTTCTTCAAAAGAACTTCTGGAGCAATATAATCCGGTGTACCAACAGTAGAATAAGCCTACAACATTTATGCATTCACAGTTACAAGCACGCACAGGAAAATGTAAAGGAAGTAAGGAACAGTATTTCCCATACAGATACTCTGAACAATAGAAATCAGCCATTTATATTTCTCTCTTTTTTCCCATTTTTGGTTGGGTAGGTGGAGTGGGTTTAACAGGTACAGTATGTAAGTACATGATTTCAATACTTACTAGATCACGAGGAAAACATTACATCAAGGTTTGCAATTACATTACACTCAATAAATAAAGCAAGATTGAAACATAATAGCAGTGAGCTTACAAGTGTCCTCCTGTTTTTTTGCCAGTTTTGAAGTTGTTCTTGTTGTGTGCGTTTTGGAGCAGAGCGCTCCTCATTCTGTGTAGACCCATTCCCATTCTGACCCATAGAAAAATCCTTTTCTTCAAGCGTACTACAATCTAATGGTTTACAAAGTCCAAAGTCAGACAGTCTCAAGTGCCCATATCTATCAAGCAATAAGTTGTCAGGCTTGATATCCCTGCAAAACAAAGTATTGTAAAGGTAAACATATACTGTTCGGTGATCAAGTTGCCTTTATTACAAACATAAGGGCATACAGATAAGTAAGACTAAATACAATGAACATTTTCCAGCATTGGATGATTTTGCTGCCAATCATGAAAGCGTAATTGTGGCATGTTCTGGAAATTAACTTAAAGTCATACAATTTCCATTAGAAGATAACCCTACAAAAAATATATATATACCTATGTATATAATTGTGCTTGTGTATAGATTCAATAGCCAGAACAGTTTCTCCAACATAAAATCTGGCTTCGTCTTCAGTCAATGTATCCTTTCTCATAAGAAGAGTCATCATGTCTCCACCCGGTAGATACTCCATAATAAGATAAAGATACTCATCATCCTGGAAAGAACAATAAAGTTTGACAATGCAATTGCTGTCGACCTCTGCGAGTACATTCCTTTCTGCTTTGACATGTTCAACCTGAAAAATTCACAAAAGAGGGGATAAGTATGAATCATGATGACTTTATTAAACTCAAGCATAAAAATTGCTACTCTCTTGAATAACATCAAGCAAAACAAAAGACTGTAAACCTGGCCTCTGCGAAGCATCTCTGATTTCTTTAGCTTTTTCATTGCGAATACATGATCAGTAGTCTTCTCTCTGCAGACTCTAACCTGCAACAAATTCAAATTTTAGAAAGAGCCAAACTGTTTTAGACAAAGACATATACAGGAAAAATACAAAAGAAAAACAAAAGCAGTTGGGAAGTTCTGGCAGCTTTACACAGAAAAATATAAGAATAAACTTGTGGTTCAAGAAAAAATTGGATGTCTCAGTAAAAAAACAATCTACAGACTCTGTTCAGGACTGCTGAGCTAGATGTATTTGGAGTTTTTGTAAGAAAGAGAATGGAGAAAATAAACACTTCCCTTCATAATACTTTAAACCCCATTCCATCAAAGCAGGTCATAATATATTGCAAAAGATGGGTGGCTCCTAGATCAATTGTAAGCTAAAATGTGAAATCCAATCGAAAAATTATGACTAGCATTAGGATGTTGGCAGTCTTGGCCATCTACTAAGTAGTAATGATGATTCTCCCAAATTAATCTCACGACACTATACTACCAAATCCATGATTTGTATAGGGAAAACATATTGAGATCCCAACAGAAAGTATTAATGAAACGTCATGAAAGCCTTAGGCTTTTTGTAGCCCACGACACTGATTACAATTTAAAATATGTTATTATGTATATATCTCTTCAAAATCACATTAATGGTAATATCAATATGCATTTAATGAATCAGGAAAACAAAAAAAAATGCATATTATATACCCAAAGTACCAAACAGAAAGAAAAAAAAATTATTTTTAAGATTGATGAACAGAGACACTATAATACAACCCACCATTACATTTCAATTTTATACATAAAGAAAGTAATCACAAACCAGATTCCATGATGTCATATTATACAATCATAACATACCTCTCCAAATGCACCTTTTCCGATCATAGTCAATAACTCAAAATCATCAACGCCCATCTTGGCCCTCTGAAGGCGCATATATTCGGTTTCCTTTTTCTCTAAAAATTTAATTAAGTTGTTTTGATCCTCCTCAGACACATCGGCATCAGCCAACTTCTTTTCCAAGACGGTCCGACTGTTATAGGCAAGTAAGGTGTTATAAAATTTTAGGAGATGTTGGTAAAAGCAACTACTAACACAGTGCACATTTACATTCAAGAGAAAAAAGCATTTCAATTTCCAGCAACTTAATCATGCTTTGCCCGAACCATGTGTGGGAAAAGAGGCCATATTTATCACTATAATCATCTCTGGGTGCACCTCAACAAAAAATTAAGAGAGAAATTTACCTTTCACAATACTACATTTCAAGTCTCTTAAAATATACAGAAAATATTACTTACTATTTGGGTTGTGTAACTGTAAGTATCTTGCAGTAATTTATACTACGTCCATCCATAAAATATAAAAACATCAAGAGAACTTTTCTTTTCCTGACCCTCTTTAAATTTTGAATGACATTAATAATTCTTTAAAACACTCCCCTATTTATTTAACATCTTTTTCTGCAATCAATAATAAATACTGTGAGAAGAATCTAAACCAATTCTCTCTCTTGAAGGGTGAACTTGTATAAACAATGTCAATTATCAACAAATATAATATTACCACCAGCTTTTTAAATGCTCGTGATTTTGTCACAAAGGTCCTATATTAGAGACAGAGGTAGTAATGTCTTAGATTTATCTCTTAGGATTGTTTTCCATACTTCTCTATATATCATGATTTGCTTTCATATTTAATTATTTTTAGTGGTCTAGTGACTCTCATGATTAATTTCTTAATTTAATTAATAACAGGAGACTAGTATCAATATGCATGACAGGAGTGCTTAGACTTTTGTAATAGAGAAGAATTAGCTGTGATTCATACACTCCCCATTAAGAATCATACAATGGTGATTTATCTTATCTCAATGTGGAATCATGTTGTGACGAACTATCCATGGTTATATATACCAACCTCGGTTTCATTTTCAACCTATTTTCTTGTGGTTTAAAATTTCCAAATGATATTGTTGGCTGATTTAGATTACTTTTAGTTCTTGGTGTGTACAACTGTACCAAGAAATTTCCAGTGACAATAATTACAATGAGTCTTTTCTTCCTTGGCTGTGCAATATTCCAACCAGATCTTTAGATCGGTGATCATTCCAACCATCTTGCTGAGTTGTCTTTCTAACAACACTCATCTCTGACATCTTCAACACCCCTAAATTGTTTATCCAGCCATGTATTTTGTAACAAGCTTAAAGCTAAGTAAAATTTAACGTGAAGATGAATGTTAAGAATGTATGCAATTATTTCGTAACATGTTGATTGTATCTTGGTATTTAGAAAATATTAAATTATCCATTAGGATTGATTTCCTTTGTTCTTAATATTTCATGAATGAATTTGTCCTTACTCGACTAGAATCAAGAATCTAGTATTTGTATCAGGGGCATTTGGAGAAACAACTTAATTAGTGTTATTTATTCGATAAGTGTTATCCGTATAAGAGCATGTGTATAAGTTGATTTGACAATAGAAACAGGGTTAGGTTAAACTCAGCATAAGCTCAAAAAACAGCTTACGACAACAAGCTATTTAGAGGAGAATATAAAAATAAGTAAAAACACAACAACTTTGGACATATCATAAACTATTTTAATAAGTTGCTCCAATTCCAAACATTTATGCAGGTGGTAATATCGTAAGATAAGATAAGCACGGATAAGCTCTTCCAAGTGCCACCTAAATAAGGATTAGTGTTTAGTTTTTTGTTAAATTGTGAAAAAAAAAAAAAAAAAAATTATCCCTCTCCTCATTTCTTATTTAGAACCCTATAACTTCAACACAATCCACTAAAATAATAGAACTTTATAGTTTCTAATATCTATAGTACAACAGCTAGTGATATGATGAGGCAATTCCCTCTTGAGAACAGCATAATAGAGTGATATCTTCAATCCATCCACATGCACATTACCAGCAAGGTTTTTTAAATTTACAAAAACGATAACTTAGCGAATCACTCTTCCTATGGATGGTTCTCCAAAAATCATCTAAACCTCAAGCCCTCAAGGGAGGAATAATAACAATACCCGTCAAATTTGAGTTTATGCTAAAATGTTCTCAATAAACAGAACTCAAAATGAGGCCACATAAGCCTCATTCAATTTACAGACTCAACTCTCCAGTTGAATATTCATCCATGGCCGTTGAGAAAAGCCGGTGTTAGTCTTTGACCCATATTGTGAAAATTTATTCTAGGAGGAGGCCATGGGCAGCAGTTATTTAACAAATAGGCAACAGTTATTCAGTAAAATAATTATAAATAAGGGGATACAACAAATAGAAGGCATTGGGTTCTCCAAACTTCACTTCTATTGAGATTTTTTTCCCTCATAAGACTACGAAGGCAGGCAAGTATCATGACTCATGTTTTCCGATATATATAAAAAACTGAGTATCTATCATAACCCTACATAAAATGAATCATACCGCTCCTTCCTCTCCTGAAGGTTCTTCATTTGCTCCTTGTAATGATTTTCAATATATTGCTTTGCCGCTGCAACCTTCTGTTTGGTGACATCAGAAAGAGCTGCTTCATCCACAGGCGAAGTCAAATCTCCATTTCCATCATTATTACCATCTACATCCCTCTTCTTCACCTTTGTTTTATCACGAGGCTGCAACTTCTGAAGCCAACTCCTCGCAGAATCCATTTCCTTGTCTCAAAAATTAACACCCTTCCTTGTTCCTTCTATGCATACTCAAACTTCAAACCCCTAAAAATTTCCAATTACAAAAAATCTGCATCAACAAGATGTAAGACCGAAAAAACAGATTCGTTTCCCTGCAATTTCTCAAAATTTAGATAAAAACTAATCAATTCATAAAAAAACCGCGTACCTCATGTTCTATGCTTCGGGCATTTCGCAAACGGTAAAATCGAAGATTGTAACGTGAGAGAAGAAAAGGATTTTAGGGATTCGGAATGTAGAGGAATTGCGGTTGTACGGAGAACTGAGAATTCGGAATACGGTTTAATAAATAGTAGTTGTGGTGATGTGAAGAAGATTATGAAACCCTAGAGATATAGATAGAGAAAAAGATGGGATTTGGGGATAGAATGGCGAATGAGAAATGAAAAGGTGTCTCGTCCAGTGACATTGTGCGCGTTATTTTCTGTGCGATGCTCTTCCCTTTTCGTTCTGGTGTGTATCTATCAAAATGAAAATGAGTTAACGTTACAGGTTTCTTTTTTATGCCATGTTTCCAACCATACTCCTTTTTCGTTTTATTGTTTATTATTTTATTTTATATTTTTTTTTTAAGATAAATTTTTAAGTGTCCATCAAGTAGTTGAATAGGATACCATAGAAATTAATTTAAAATATTAATTCATTTTTAAATAAAATTTATATAAAAAACGACATGTGTTAAATGTGATTGTTTTATTTGATGAGACTAAATTTAAAAGTATCATACTGTTAAATAATAAACTTACCCCTTAACTTTAAATGTGATAAGAATTTTTATCCATTTGCATAATTATTTGAAGAGTTTGTGTACATTAAGGTGACAATAAAATTCATTTACATATTATCCATCTAATTCATCCAATAATTTATTTATTCATAAGACAAAAAATAATTTAATGGATTTAATCCAATTCATCCCTCTCATTTTATAAATCCATTGAATCTTATCCATCTCATTTTATAAATTCATTGGATTTTATATTATCACTTATAAAATTAATTAAATAAACTATTTTTATAAAAAAATATTTTAATTAAATAATTTTTCTTTATTTTAAACACAAAAAACAAAAATATTTAATTTCTTCTTTTCTTCCTAAATTTTATTTAGAAATTTCTTTTTAAATTTTACTTAGAAATTTCTTCTTCTTCAAATTTCTCTTTAAACTAAGAATTCTAATTTCTTCCCCAAACTTTTTCTTCTCCAAATTTCTGTCTAAACCAAGAACTCTAATTTCGTCCCCAAATTTATTCTTCTCCAAATTTCTTCTTTCCTAATTTCTTCTTCTCTCAATTCCGTTTTAATATCAAGCACTAGAAATTCATCTCAACGTTTCGGTGCTTTAATCGTCATTCATCTCAACAATTGGGTGCAACAATTGCAAGGTTTCGGTGCTAATTTCTTAAATAGTTAAGAAGAATTCAAAAAATAATTAAGAATGATTACTTAAGATTTGTATATATTATAAAAATAATAAAGTCTTACTGAAAAGAATAATTATTTAAAAGATTTGCTTTTTTATGTATGTATATATATATATATATATATATATATATATATATATATATATATATATATATATATATATATATATATATATATATATATATATATATATATATATATATATATATATATATATATATATATATATATATATATATATATATATATATATATATATATATATATATATATATATATATATATATATATATATATATATATATATATATATATATATTCTTAATTGGAATGTGAAGAGAGAATATTTTTTTTTTACAATTAAGAATAACTAAAAAAATAGTTAAGAATATTTAAAAAAATGATTAAGAATATTAATTTTTTTTGTGAAGTTTAAATTTTTTAAAGAAATTTAAAAAATAATTGAGAATATTAATTGTTTTTATGAAATTTAAAAAATAATTCAGAATATGGATTTTTTTGTAAATTTTTTTTTTTTTATGAAATTTAAAAAATAATTAAAAATATTAATTTTTTTTTGTTGTAAAATTTAAGTTTTTTTATGAAATTTAAAAAATAATTCAAAATATTTAAATTATGTTTCTATGAAATTTAAAAAATAATTAAGAATTTTTAAATTAATTTTTTGGATGGATGGATATCCATCCATTAGAAATATGTTAATGGATGGATTGGATGGATTTTATCTCTTAATGGATGGATTGGATTGGATTTTTTTTAAGAGAGTTAGTGGATTGTTAATGGATTAATGGATTACTTTGATCCATCCATTAACAATCCAATCCATATTCATCCAATCCATCCATTTTGCCACCCCTACTATATAGTGTATTCGGCCTTCTTGGATTTGTAACTCAGTTTTCATAATTTTATATTTCACATTCATTGTAAATTTAAGTTTGTTTTTCCGCCATGGCTCTGCATCATCTTCAACCTCATGTACCTCGTGTACTATAATATGGTATCAAAAGACTATAACACCCTTTCTTTTTCTGTCCTCGTCATCCTTTTCAGCTCTAACTTCTAACCATTTACCCTCTTTTCTTTCATGGCTTCTAAAGATGACAATTCTTCTGTTAAAGAAACCCCTACAAATTTTAATTCTTCCAAAAATGATCCACCAGATTCTATCTTAAACCCTCACAACCCCTTTTACCTTCATTCCGGTGAGAACCCCAGTGCCTTGAATAGTTTCTTCGGCTGCTTGAGGGAGGCCCAATTGTGCTTCCCATGCGAAGTCTGTCGTTGAAGGTGGAAGCAACGAAAGAACAGAGGAGTTGTGGCGTTGATCTCTAGGTACTGACACATGATCTCAAAGGCTCGGATGAATGCGATCATATTCGGGTGCAGGTGTGAGGGGGCTAGTTCTAGCCGATAAAAAATTCCCATTTTAAGACCGTTGAATGGCAGAGCCTTGACTCTTTAAAGGCGTACTACCGTACATGGCTAATCCGCGGTCGCTCGCGGATCAAAAACGAGTAATTTTAGGAAAATGCAGTACAGCGACAGTGACTCGGAATATCGTCTCACAAGGATTCTTGTAGGAATAATCAAATACAGTAACGAAATATGGGGGGTTTTGATTAAGATAAAATAAACGAAAAATAAGTGATTAGAAAAAGTGATTGTAGTAATGAGTTGAAACGACTAATCTACTGTTTTCGTTTCCCAACTTATCATCGATCCTAATAATTCCCAATTCCTAAGCGGATTCTATCCCCTTTCCGATTATAATAACAATCAACAAGCGCAATAGATATTATACGATACACGTTCCTAATTTCTGAATTAAGCAAACAGATAAAATAGTAACCGTGAATTAAGCAAACACGAGAAACATACGCGGATTAAGCAACCGCGATTAAAGTATAAGAACATGCAATCATCGAAATAAATCAATCATACCTAAGATAAATCGAATTAAGCAAACAAAATATCATAGAGAAGAATTGAAAGGAAATAGATTTTATTGAAAATTAAAAGAACCTCAAAGTGTTGGCGGGAACCGATTACAGCAGATTAATCCGAAGGAATTAGTTCTCCATAATTCATACAAAGCTCCAACCAAAAACTTTCATGAATAGTGAATAGGATATTTAAGGCTGTACGGCCAGACCTAAACTAAAAAGAAAAACAATGGATACAGTTCATAACCCAACTGGGTCGAAAATATAACCCAGGCTCAAAACATGACCCAAAACTAAAACAATTTCCTAATGCTGCAACTTCTACGAATATTCTGGGAAAATATGTTCTGAATCTGACTTTGACTCCAACACGAAAGTCGTAGCTCTCTCTCTCTTAGCTTTCCGACGATTTTTAGAACGCCTCAAACGGATTCCCGGAACTCCAGTTATGATCGTTTCCGTGCAGACTGCTAAAGCTGGAAAATAGTTGCGATAATTAAATTAAACCAAAAATAAAATAAAATAAGAAAACATAATAAAATATAATAATAAACAAAATAAAATAAAGAAATGCCTAAGTAAAAATGTAGGAGAATGTGCATAAATATGCACTGATCAAATTCCCCTGGACTTGAACTTTTGCACTCCGAGCAAAATTAAAACAAAACAAGGGAAGCACACACACATCAATAGTTACTCATTCCAGGCTGTAAGTCTTCTTCGGTTAAGTTTGCATCGATAGGTACTAATCTTACACACTAAGGATATCGTAGGAACACTAATCCACAATTGTGCAGACATAAACCTCTTGAATATACAAATCAACTCGAATCATGTTATTATGTTGAAGCCTAACTTACTCTTCCTCTTTTTTGCTCTTTTTCATTCAGGCGCAATCACATTAAGCCCGTTATCTCCACACACTCATAGCAAGGCGACCGATTAGTGACTCTGATCCTTTTTGTTTGGGGTTCTAGTACTTACATGGCATAACCCTTTGTCGACTCAATTGTAGTTGCGGGGGATCAGACCGTAATCCACCATACCAAGTTCAGCACCAAAAACCGCTGAACCAACTAACGAGTAATAAAAAAATTTCAACTTTTTCTTTTCTTTTCTTTTTCTTTTTTTCTTCTTTTTATTTTTATTTTTTTTTAATTTGATCACTCACTTATATTCATCGGCTTCCCTACGTAGAATGTGTATGAGATGGTGCTGATTGCTGAAATAAACTACTCAAGAGCTGTCAGAGAATGAAAATTCAAGGCTAAACCATAATAAGAATTCAAATCAATTTCCATATGCAGGAGACTTACGGTGTTAAGACGATACCGATCTTGTGAATTTTTTCCAAGTCTCCGCAAACTAATCTCAAATTAGTCTTTAGCCTAGAACTTTCAAACAGATGCATTTTTTAAAAAAAAATTTATTATTATAACTGAAAACAAAACAAAACAAAATATAAAGCAAAGGTTTCCCTCCCCCAGACTTAAAACAAGCATTGTCCTCAATGAAAGGACATAAATATAAAATAAGAGTGAGGGAAAGGAAAGAACACACCCGACGAG